CTAATTAATTTTTGCTGGCCAAATCTTCCTATTCAATGTCAGCAGCTAATTGGGGGCCTAATTTGCTTAATTCCCATGAATAGCTCTCTGCATGAAATCCTCTTCAATTCAACAGCTTTACGGCTTTAATTTTGGTTGCATATGTTTGCTGCACACACAGACACACATCCACTGTGTTTGCGTCACACACACACACACACATAACTTCTGGACAAGCAAATAGACAACCAGAGAACTGGGGGCTCAAGCACCAAAACGATGATCTATTGAGAAATGTGCTACTTTATATGAGAGACCACACAAACTAGACCCTCATCTGATTTAGTGCAAATATTCACCCCCCAAAATGATAATTACCCACCTTTATAGCCTGAATCAGATTGAGGTCATGAGCTGTGTGTGTCTGCGTGTGTGAGTCCATACGTGCATGTTATTTTGTTAATCTAATGAGATGGGTGGAGGCGTGCTGGGGGCCGTAGATTAAAGCCACAAAGATTTTTTGCTGATTAGCAGAGAGTGAGCTAAGAAGATCAGTCCTGCTGAGACGGCGATGAAACATTAAGGCCTTGTTTTAATGCACTTTATGATTACAGCAGCATTCCAAAGCTGCAGTCCCTTTAACTCACACGTGAGCTGCACAGATGCAAACAGATCAGGCAGAAACAATCTATGGGTGATACCGGTCAGAAACACACGACGTGAAAAAGGAACACTTTAGTGTGACTGAAGCCCAGATGATTTTTCTGCTCTGAACACAGGATGCGATATAATTAGAGGTTTGACTGACTTTACTTAACACTTTACTCTTAAGATACCAGCAAGTAAAAAAACCCATTTTGTTTTGTTTAGATTTGTATTAGGGATCCTTTTTTTTTACCAATATCCAATTCTCCTATATCGTCTGTCTCTCAATTTCTGATACCGATGCATACGGGATCCCCATCTCAAAAAAAGAAAAAAAAAAGAAAAAAAAATATGTATATATATATATATGTATATTTACATTTTAGGTAACTAACTTCAAATATCTCCTATCACACATCCCAGTGGTCTAGTGCAGTGGTTCCCGAACTGGGGGTCGGGACAAAAATGCGGGGGATCTGCACAATTTTGCCTTTGGTGAGGTTGTGAGGTTAGCAAGATTTTATTTGTAAAAGATACATTTATAAAATCCCAATGACACACTCTACAGTATAATCAGAACTCCAGAAAAATGTTCTAACTCTGTATGTCTGTATAAAGTTTGTAAGTGATCGCATTAATGTGTGTAGGCGTTGGGGTTGAGGGTCCTGGCTTGTCTTGGACACAAGCAAGCGGGTCCTCAAAGAAAACGTTTGGGAACCCATGGTCTAGTGTTATGAGTGTCCACCCAGCTCGGCGATTGGGGTTCAAATCTGGTCGAGTCATACCAAAAACTTTAAAAATGAGACCCGATGCCTCCCTGCTTGACACTCAGGGTGTTTCTCAATGGCAAGATGCCTGGCCTAGCAAAGTGATGTCTTGCCAGGTCAGGCACCTTGCTTACGCTGACACTGCCCATCCTTGGTAAAAAAAAAAAAAAAAAAAAGGCGGTCATGTCACGTGACATGTGAGGTAAAGTAATATTTTATAGGTTTAAGTTTCAATATAAATGTATAACGAGCCTTTTACTTTTTAAGTTGTGTATTCATTGGTTAAATTAAATATGTAAGCACTGCTAGGCACTAAAGGTGCAACTTCTAACCAACTAACCAACCATGCTTTGGATCCAAAAAAATCATTTTAGATATCAGCCCGATGGCAAAAATCAGTTGAATTACATTTAAACTGGAAATTTGCCCCTGATGTGCTGGCTCCTGATCCACCCTCCTTTCAAAAATACAGCGCTGAATTCTGGAAAAAAATTTTGACCAAGGCCAGGCTACAAGACACCTCTGTATCCTTGGTCAGCTAGCTAAATGGCAGAGAACAGACGAATCCATGGAACATGAACAAATTGGAACACGCCTTGGCGGTTCCTGATGACGTATCTCCTAGGCAACTGGGGTGGAACCAAGACATCAATGCGAGGTTCCTTGACACTGAGAAACATCCTCATCCTCACCAAATAGTTCCTGAGTATAGCCGCTGCGCTGCAGCTCACTGCTCCCCACGGGGATGGGTCAAATGCAGAGATATAATTTCACCAGTCTGTGGTGATCACTAATGGGACTTAAACATTTTTAACATTTCATGTGCAAAAATGACAATAAGACTTACGTTTAAGTTAGTAACAGGAAAAGTGACGTATTTATTCGTCTCTAACAATCTCATTCTCCCTCGCTAAGATGTGTTAGTACTGCCATTTTCATTTTTCTGTATATTTCATCAGCTACAGTGATAAAACACTTATAAATGTCTTCAGATAAGAAAAGCAAGCTTTGGGTGAAGATTTGTTATTGTTGTAGTCGTTTGTTTGCGTCTACATGTACGTGCTGTTAGGACAGCATACGTTTACTACACAAGGCAAGCTTCTTCTTCA